CATACATCACGTAGTCTTTTAGGAACCGACTGTAGTAATTGAGACTACCAATAAACGACTGCATAACGTTTAGGGTGGTGGGCAGCAATAGGTCCACCAATGACTGGAGATCTTTGGGGTGGGCCTCCAACCCCTTCACAGATACTCGATGCTCAAGATAATCAACTTTTTTACATCCCCATGAGCTTTTAACCGCGCTAATAAATAAATTTCACTTATCCAAAACAATCAATAGTCTTTCAACTTAAAAAAATAGGTCATCTCATAATCCGAAGGTCACTAAAATGTCATCGATATAAGACCAGCGTCCTAATATGGATTTCTCGGATTCCTCCTCAGGTTGACCCATTTCGAACATGTCAATCTGTTTCTCAGCGTTGGGCTTTGAGGAAATCGTGAAAAACCCATATAAAGCATTATCTAACAATCTCTGATAAATCCGCGGCGCATTCTTCAGTCCAAACGGCATCGTTTCCACTAAAATAATCCCAGCGGAGTTACAAACACCGAGATCAAACGAGCGCGTTCAGTCATACTGACTACCCAAAAACCGCTAGCCATATCCAGTGAGCAGTACCACAGGACCTTGTCTAGGTCTTCTAGCAACTCATTCACGAGAGGCATAGGGTACACCATGACCCGCGTTAAGTCGTTCAAAATCCGGCAATCAATGCACAGCCTTATATTCACCCCGTTCTTCTTGACAATAATTATCGCGATTTGTATTAGAACAGATGTATGCTTTGCTGTGCATATAGCGACTCGTCGAACGCACAAGCCGACAGTGGATGACTGGAAAATGGCTAATTGTATTTCAAAAAGTTTGAAGGAGACCAAGATGTTGATTATAGATTGGCGGCGTCGGACGATCGACTGATGATTTTAAGATCAAAAGCTGGAGCGACGACGATTTTGCGGCTGATTAAACTGACCGTAAATTTGGTTCGGGGTGTGTTGTGACGATGGTAGAAGGGTAATTTGTGGTCATGCAAAACACGGACCGGTTTATCACTGAGCATCATGGAGGCCGAATTAATCGGTTTTGCAGGCTGGTCGTGATTAATTGGGTCTAAAGGAGCAATTCTAAGAGCTAAGTATGCATATTGCTGAGCCGATGTAAATGTAGATGGACAATTAAGCTGCTATCAAACGATTGTAGAGCGAGAAAAACGGCGGGTGCCAAGCACGTGGAGATTCCATTCTCATTACATCTACCATTACGCTCACGCCAAGATTGTGCAGGTTACCTTTGTGAAGTATGATGAGATGATTGCATTGCAGGTATACTGACGAAGACCCTACTTGCGCCACGTCTCGTTGAGCTGTGCAGTATGTTCACGCTGAAGGCTACGTAAGTTATGGGCGAGTTATAGTTTTAGAGCGTACCAATTCTACCAGGTGCGTCAAGGAAAAGACCAATACAGGTCAAGTACGCCCGCACCAGATTGGCTGAAGATAGGAAAGGCGCTGGGATAGGACGACGCAACAACAGATCGGGAAAAGCGACAACTTGGGCTAGAAAGACATGCCGGACGAACCAGCAGATGCCCTCTTTTGCATCCATATCTCATAAAAGTGATTACCAACTACGAATATATATTACTTCTACTGTTATATACTAATGCGGAAGTGAATCGCTTCCATTTAACATCGTGCGCGCAGAAAAAGAATATGCCATTATGAACATGGCTAATTTTGACTCAATACATCTTGTTTCTGCAACAAAACGTCGCTGTAACATGGTTCTTATCAACACAAGAGACATCCATGGTAATACTGTTGGTCTGACCTCGACGGGCGGTAGCTCGTTGCTGCTGGAAGATACGACAAACGTGGCGGCAGCGATGCCACATATTAGACGCTGTTGCATCAATTATATCATGCGAATGTTTCTTGGCTGTCCAGCTTGGGCTTGATACGTGCAGCAGCTCACCTTGGCGTTTGTAATTCCAACATCGGAGCTTACGTTTTTACGTGGCAGAACCGAATGGCAGAAAAAAGGGTGTCGTTTCAAGCGACCCAAGATCATCAAACGCTTAGGACACAAGACCGGGCCATTTCATCCCGCTAATTGTAGTGACCCCCAATGTCCCCATTTCATTGTTGCAGAAAGAAAGACGAGACAACCATCGATATTTCTTACTATTAGCGAATACCAAACCAAACATTTCATTATCGCTGCTGATAAAAAGAAGTAATGAATTCGTCTAATAGCCTCATTCGTGATAGCATCGGCTTGAATTTGACTTTCCTCCGTCCAAAATGCTTCCCGTCCTCTTCTGGTGCGAGTTCGAAATTTCAGTTTCCTTCTTTCAATCAACTAAATTCCAAGTTGACCAAGTATTGTACTCAAGTAGGAGTTTGACGATATATGTGGTTAGGATGCCAGCTTTAGCTTATGCAGCATAAAAAATCAATTAGTGCATACTGGCTCCTCGCATCCGTACTGAATCATGGGCATTTTGAGCCCACAGCTGCTGTGCGGAACTACCATCAGCACGTAAATCTGGTTCGCTTTTAAATTTTCTATATTTGCGTTGAAATTAGCAATTCCCTGCAGCTCCAAGGTTTTGCTCGTTAATCACGTGACTAAAGGAGTTTTTTCGCCTCTCTTAGCTCTCCTTACGTCTTCATTGCTAGAGAACAGTCGATCGAGGCCACGTACTTATTCTTTCACGCCGCAATCCTTCATTATATAGGCCCAGGACGAAGATAATATTGTCACTGTTTCCCTCTGCCATTGCGTTGCCGTCCGCGGTGCAAGCGATATTGTGAATCAAAAGTGATTTTACAATCTTTCTTGGACAAGTGCCTGTCTGTCAAATTGAGAATGCGCATTGCTCATGTGTAAGCTTCCATAGTTACGGCTGATGGATCACATGAGATAGTCACAAAGTTGCATCCTCTCACAAACAACGTGTAGCCGCCCCGTTAGAGATTTGCGGCAAGATCAACATACACTACTTTGCATTATTAAGTAGCATTTTTCACCCTAGCTTTATCCTTTCGCAAATCACTTGAGCTATTTAATTCAAAATTAGTGCACCCTATTCACCATCAACCTCGAATGATAGTGTGCAGTCGATACATGTACAATTTTACGATGCGCCTTTTATAATGTTGTGATCCCATAACGCAATTTTTCGAGTTAAATTTGGAGGTAATGCAAAGATAATACAATTTTTTAATAATCGATCTCTTCACTATTGGTGTAATTCGGCGATAATATTAGGCAACAAAGTCGGCAGTCAAATGAATACAAAATGTAAGACAATGTATTTATATAGTAAAAGTTATTAAAGTCGCCAATCATATAAAAGCAAAGTTTGCTTGAGAATTGATCTTAGATTTCGAATTTGACATAGTAGAGTTAATGTATTGGTTAACATTTTTAACTAAATTGAATACGGTTTCATTCTTTAACCAAACCGTTTCTGTTTGGTTGCACAGTTCCGGCCATGACAGAATACGTGAAGTTTTGGAAGTTGTCCGCTCGTACTGGGCGTAGGACGACATCCCCTGTTATAGATACGAGCTCAGGGCTGGTTGCTCAATAAAAACTAACAGCAAAGAGGTTACTGCACTTGCAGCCATGCGCGCGAAAGCATAAAACAAATACTGTCGTAAATCGTAAAACAAATATCTGTCAAGTCCGTCAACACTAACTCGACCGACACTAAGTCGTATTCAGGTCACAGTGACAATTTATGAAGAGGACCATTAACGTAAGACTGTAGCCAGATCGCTGATATGGTGCCTGACATTGCATTGAAGGACGTGACGCATCTTCAAAAAAGAAAGCTAAAGAGAAAGGAAGAAACAACTATACAAGCCGAGCCAAAAAAACAAGGCCAGGTAGGTCAAAGCGGAAATGCGAAACGAATTTAAGTGACGTTGAAACAAGCACGGGAGCCAAAAGTAGTTTAGTAAACAAGAAAAGTCGAAACAAGCTGGCACTGATACGTTCACAGCTATTGCTAAGACAGTCCTTGTGCCTCATCGTTTTGATCGTGCTAAATTGGGCAGTGGCGTGCAAGAAATACTTGCCGCTATTTTTTAGGCTACGCGTGCAGCAGTGGCATCGAATCAACAAATGAACGGTTGTTGAGCTAGCTTCCAGCAGTCATTGTACGACCACGCGGTGTAGGCAGTGCGAATACCGAACAGATGAAAAAATTTAATGATGCTGTGGCAATCGCTGAAGTTGTGGCAACAGAGAAGTACCAGCGACAACAGCATTATTACTACCAGCAGCAAGTGATGCTTGCAAATAGCCTGTACATATGCGTTACTGATTGGTGCACACCTGAGACCGATACCAATCAAGGTGGAATAACATATAAAACAGGAGCGTTTAAGTGCGCTGAAGATTATCATCGACAGCAAGCACACGTGCACGCATATAACAACACCATCATATGCTCACCAGAAAGCCAATGTGTTCGAGTTGGCAGCAAGTCAACCATTAATGGCATCGAGTGCTACAGTCTGGGAGAAGCAGCTGCAAAAAATAGACAAAGAGCGAAGACGGCACCTCACATGCCCCAAGCTGAAAAGATGTGACTCCACCATCTTTTCTATAACGGACACTACTTCACCCGCAAGCGTTGGCTGCTGCAATCGGCTCAGAAGCTGACGAGTTTGCAAACTACCACAACAAAAATGCCAAAAGCGATTGCAACTAGTGTGGTAGCTAGAAAAGCCCTCGACAACAACGTGACAAGAGCAACGATTCCCGACGCGGTGATGAGGACTCAAGAGTGTGACCTTGTAAACACACCGACCAAAAGTGTTTTTTATGAATTTGTATCGTAGCTGGCAATGGCAGCTTCCACATTTAAAGCGCTAGATTTTCATTGGCCAAAACCAAATTGGCGGTCGAAGGACAGCCATTCCATGCATCGTCGCTTTTACTTGTTTATATTATGGTATCAGAATGATTGTCAAGTTTCCCTTTGACACCGCGGCAAAACTACATCCCGCACTGGAAAAGCGTAACGATGTCGGATAGTCAGGAGGACGTGACAATGCAGGAGAGAGACGCGGCTAAAGACATTTCAGATGAAGAAGAAGCTGAGTGGTCTCCTAATGCAATTGAAGACGAGGAAGAAGACGAGGAAATGGAAGAGAGCGACGGCATTGAGAGCGAAGACTTTGATGCTGTTGGCTCTTTCTTCGATCTCAACAGTTCGCGCACCCGTAAACCAACTCGTCAGTTGAGAAATGGATTCACAAAGATGCCAAAGAAACGCAAGGTCATGTCGGGACGGACCGAGCGCTGGAATCGCCGTCGCAAGATCGCAGACGTGCTGGACGACGCAGAGCTCGAACAAAGTACACGCAAAGCTCGTGAAGCAGAAGCAAAGCGAGCTCAGAGAATTGACGCTATATTGGGAAACTTTTCAGCCTTATCAGAGGATCAGCTGGCGGTGCCTGATAAAAAGAAAGAGAAGAAATTGTGTCTAAACCCATCGGCGGGAGAGATGCCTACAGGTGAAGAAGGATCAGAGGACGCGCCAATTTTTGCATACAATGATCTGGTCGATAAGCTAAAACCTCACCAGGTTGACGGTGTCAGGTTTTTATGGAGTCATGTTGCAGTGGAACCGGTGGGTTTTGGTTGTGTATTGGCAGATTTTATGGGTCTGGGTAAGACATTACAGGTAATTACGACAGCGCAGGCGTTTTTGTCGAAGAGAATTATGGATGAGAACGGAAAGTTAAAGCAAAGACATAAGCACGTGCTGATCCTTGCTCCAACGATTTGTGTTCGAAACTGGGAAGCCGAGATTGTCAAGTGGCTAGGCAAAAAGGAAGCACGACGTCTTGGACTGTTCACGTTGGAGTCAAGCCGAGAAAAGAAAATGAACGATCGTGTCTTTGTTGTGAAGAAGTGGTACAAGCGTGGTGGCATTTTGATAATGGGATACGAGCTGTACCGTCTTTTGGTATTGCAGTCCAGTGGCGAGGAGAAGATATCTGCTGGGAATCAAAAGTACGCGTATTTGATGAAACAGGTATATGCATGCTTGAGCGACCCGGGACCAGATCTTATTGTGCTGGATGAAGGCCATCGTGTTCGTAATCACAAGTCAAAAATGGTGAAAGCACTCGCTCACGTTAAAACGACACGACGCATAATCTTAACAGGCTACCCACTTCAGAATCACCTGGAGGAATACTGGACGATGGTAAATTTTGCCCGACCGAACTATCTTGGCTCTTTGGATGAATTTAAAAATCGATACGTAGCCCCAATCACGAATGGACAGTGCATTGATAGCTCCGAAGCCGACTTGCGGCTGGCACGGCACCGGGCATTTGTCCTAACGCGCGAGTTAAGGCCTTTAGTACTCCGTCGCGATCAGCAATATCTTTTTAAGCAGCTACCACCTAAGAAGGAATATGTGCTAATGTGCAAACTAACCGACGCACAAGCACAATTATACCGAGAATTTCTTCGCAGTGGTGTTCCAACTCGTGGCGACTCGCAACAGGTGGATGTCCTTGGTGGCTACCATATTGCACTGGCTATCTCGAACCACCCTGATGTCATTTACGAAACGTACAAGAGACTGGAGAAAGAGGAGCAGAACAAAGCTAGCATAAAATCAAAACGCAATGATGTCTTGGAAATTTTTGGGGTTGAAGATGGTGGCAACGCTTTTGATCCGTATGATGACGGCCCGAGCCAGAGCGCTCCCATGTCCGGTACCTTTAGAGCTAATTCACCAGCAGAGTCTCGCGGTCCGCGCGTGAACAATGACGACGATGACGACGATGACGACAGTGAGGCAGCACTTTTGAATATGCTAGATGCCCCTAGTAGTGCTGCGCCACAAACTAAGCCAACAGCTGTTGCAAGAAGTCATCGTTTAAAATTTGCTCAAGATTTTGTCGAAAACTATGTCCCGAACCAGCTCGAATCCAGTGGCAAGATGATGATCCTTATGGAACTTCTGTCAGCGTGCCGAGACGTTGATGATCGTGTGATCATATTTTCGCAGAGTATTCCTACGCTAGATGCTATCGGAGTAACAATCTCCAAGCACAACAAGTATCAGCGGCGCCATGCCAAACGCTTTAATTATCTGCGTATTGACGGAAGCACGTCCCAACAAGACAGATTTCGACAGATCGACCAGTTCAACGACCTCGAAGAGGATATCGACATAATAATGATCTCGACGAAAGCTGGCGGCGAGGGAATTAACCTGTGCGCTGGCAATCGAATTATCATGTTTGATGTGTGCTGGAACCCATGCAATGACTCACAGTCTATGTGCCGATCGTACCGGTTTGGCCAGACTAAACCCGTTTTCGTATACCGCTTTGTGTCGATGGGTACCATGGAGAAGAAGGTATACGACTTGCAAATTCGCAAAGAAGGCGTTGCTAAGCGTATTGTGGACGAAAAAACGACCGAAAGAAAGTTCATGTCCTCTGAGTTGCAAAAGTACTTTAGCATTAAGGACTTCGAAGATTCTTTGTTGCACGCGCAAGGCAAGGCAGTAAATGATGAAGAAGTTATTATCGAAGCAATTCCTCATGAAGACTCAGTGCTAACGAATATTTTGACAGAAATGCAACACAGAACTACCACTCCAGCTAACATCTCTACTGAAAATGTAGAAAGTACTGCTGCTGAAATGTTGGCCGACAGGAGATGCATCATAGATTGGTTTGAGCAAGATACGATGTTTGAAGAAGATTTGGACCAACAGTGCACACCAGCTGAGCAGAAGGAAATTTTGGAAAGCTATACCTACTTTAAAGCTGTACGGACACTGCGCAGCGGAGGAACTCATCTTTTAAGTCGTGAGGGTGTGCTGATTAAGAATTGTGACTATTGCCGAGTATCGAACGAGATTTATCCGACATCAACTACGAGCGTTCCAGTGCCTTCGAAAATTGAATGCATTTATTGCAAGCAGTCTATTGCAACTGCCGGGGCAGTCCCTCCGTTACAAAACCCAGATGCTGGGTACTCGTTTATAGGGCACATGCCTCGGGTTCCGATTCCAGCACAAGAGACTGTGACGGCTACTACAGCAGTTCTACGTCCACCTGGAGCAGCAGCCTCAGCCCTTCCACTCGCACCAACTACAATAGGTGTTGCTCCAAGTGTAAGTGCTCAAAGTGGTGGCAGAATATTGCCTCCCCACATGCAGATTATATTCGATCAGCAAAAGAGAGCGGACAAGAACACTGAGGAACAGCGAGCCCAGCTGTTTGCTCGGCAGAGGGCCGAGCAGCAGCGCAAGAAAGCTGAGATTGCAGCAGCGGTACGGAAGCAGGAGCGGTTAAGTATGAAGCTGAGTGACCGGCATTTACTTATACTTCGGCGAGGCATAAAGGGGTGTCAAGACCTTAAGCGGGAGGCAGAGGAATGTGGGGCAGCATTGGCGATCGAGGTCAACTCGCAACTTACGGATATTGTAAGTGCGATGACCCCAGCAGAAACATATAAGTGGCTCAAGCTAAGCAAGCTTCCTGGTGATGTGGAACTCCACGATGACACCTGGTTGCGAAACGAAATCGCAAAAGAGAAAGGATTGCCGCTAATCCCTGTTAAGTCAAGTTCGAATTTGACCGTAAAGCCCCAATCAGCTATTACAGCTGCTACTGCCGCTAATTTTATGGCCTGTACTGCTCCAGCCCTCGCTCCCACAGATACGCCGACTTATGGTCATAGTTCACAGACAACGGTCGACAGCAGCAGTGATTATATTGAACTTTTGGGCTCGGATGATGACGACCTTCCGAAGACAAGTATTAGCAACGGACCAGCAGCAAATGACCACAATAACGGTGATAACGCTACCGTTGTTGACGTAAATGACGTCATTGAAATATTGTAGGTACCGTCGTCAACAACGAGGAGATAAACATCAGACCCATTGCCCAGAGGAAGCTGGGCGAATATATGTATGAATCACGATAAGGTGGTTGCAGTCTCCGATGTATCTATGACGCGGTATGGCTTTGGAAGACCGTGTGGGTAACCTGGTATTGACGGCTTAAGATGTTTGCATTCGTAAACGCGTTCGACTTGGCAAACCACAGAATAGCCATGGTCGGCCTCATCAGGCAATCAACGGAAGGAAGCATGCTGCTTCGATTAGTCATTAGGTTACCATTATCGTGACGACAGCGAGGGCGTTGAAGTCTAGCAGTCCATTCGTGAGTACGCGTCATTCATAGTATACGATGCATCCGGTAAAGGGGCGATGTAAAAATTTTGGCAAGAGATATTGTGACGGAATGTCAGCTGCACTCATGGCTCACCCAATCTTCAAGCCCAGAGGACAATTGCATGGGCCAAAATTCTGAGTTGCGTGGTGACACCATTTCTCGAAAAACTTTGCATTGGACACAGCCACCGGCAAAAGCATTTATTTCGCAACATTAGTTCTTGTTCACCCGGAACTCATGGACGGAAAGATACATCAATGCTGTCGCAGATGCTTCGGTGTGCAAGAAGACTGAGCTCGAGAATTTAAACCGAATTTATCGATAAAGATCAAGCCACGCAAATGACCTACTGAGCGCCTGTGAGAAAGCAAGCTGCAAAATACCGGGAGGAAAAAGAACGGTAGCTTGCTAGTTTGCGCTGCTCTTTGAATGTTAGAAGACGACCTGATTGTCCAATCCGATATGGATCTCGACGACTGTATGATGAGGCGTCCGTTGCCGTATACATGTATCCGAACAACTTTTTGGAGACGTTAATACTGCTATTAGCCAGCTGCAGCAAAATAAGTGACAAGCAGGGTGTCAATAATCAGGCACCAGCAAAATTACACGGATGCAAACTCAGCTTTCGCGGACGAGTCAAGAACGTCGCTCTGTTATTGCAGCTCTCTCATCTATCGAGGTGGAGGCCCACCATACTCGATCTCGACGCTTTCTTCATCGTCGACTTTAGCGAATGACAGGTAACTCATGCCTCCTCGCATTCTCTCTGCCGTCGAGTTACGTGTGTGTGGGTGCTAGCAAGCCAAAAACAATTGTTTGGATCTAGGAGCGAGCTCAAGAACGTCACGCGGCGCCAAGTATTGCTCTTCACGCCCAGCAGATTCAAAGCTGGTCGATCACATAGTCCAGCACCAGTACGAAAAAGGCACACGAAGCGCATGCGCATTACATTTTTTCTCGTCCAAAGCGTTTGCATCAATACTCATGCACCTGCTGCAATGTTTTTATAGTCATGGGACAGCAATACATCGTCGTTTACATCTACGCATGCTGATAATTTCACACGTTATGTCGCTTGTAATGCGTTCTTCATTGGCATTAATAACACTGATTCTCTTCATAGATCGGTATTGCATCCGAATTGTAGGTGCGCTCAGCTCATCTTCTCATGCATCGAGATATATAATTCCCAACTAAATGCTTCGTTATAAAGAGTCCTGGTCCCGGGTCCACCGATATATCCTGCACAAGCTATTGCCCCCTGAAGGCCAGTTCGTGGCACGTATTTCTTACGAAGTACATGACCGGCACTTTGTAAAATACAACCAAGCATCCCGTTGCAGTAATATTTTGTCTGAATCATTTTTTGTAATAATTGTTCATAGTAGTTTCATAATTCTCTCATTCCTGAAATCTCTTGCTTAGTCGTCAGTGCTTCGATGATTGTGCTTTTGTGCAACACAAGACTAAAATAACGTTGATGTAGAGTCTGGCAGAAGCGCCGTGACCTTGTTAATCCTTACTTCAAGGTGCTATCTTCCTTTTCTAATTGTAGCCTCCTTCTTCTAAGCTTGAAGCTCGACTCTTTGTACCTCAACTTTTGAAAATTTTAGTGGCTACTTCGAGCTCACAAATCCAGTCTTTTAGCCTCCACGCTTTCACTTCACTGCTTTTATTCTGTGTCAGGCGCTGGGGGTGCATCTGGTCGGGATGTCGGACCTCAGTCAAAAGGGGACAGTTCTTGGTTTCGGACGTTCACATCGAGTTGAAGCTTTGCTAATTACAGACTAACCTCCGATAAATGATCCTCAAAAAGCCATTGCCTCCGATAATTATTACTCTTTTGGTCTACCATACTGTTCCTATAACCATAACCGATATCCTCTGGTATCGGATACTTGAACTATTCTAACAGAATATCATCTCTATATCTCTTGTATATCAACTTTCGTGCGCAAATTTTGCGTTGTAGTCACGGAAGACCTTCCGCTCTGCTCTGTGATCTTTTATATCGACGTTGAGTAGTTTTCCCACAACGCTTCCAGCATTCAGCTGCACTGAAATTGGCTAACTTTCCTAGTCTGACTCGCCGTCATCGTCTAAAACCTCGGAATTTGTTTTGTCTGCGTTGCCTAACACCAATTCTACCAGCTCAATGTCCGTCAGCTCAATGTCCGTCAGCTCAACGTGCACCTCCTAAGCTTCTTCGATTATAAGGTTTGCGACTGGCATGGAATGGCGAATATAGAGGGTGTCGATCGCATCTTAAATGTTAATTTTTGATGCTTCTTTCTCTGTGTCGGGGTCTGCTTCAGTGCACGCTTATATTCGATTGTCGAAAAATTCAGTGTGGTTAAAGCAATAAGCGATGACCGATTTTGGCAGCTCTTCCCTTGCAACTTTGCTTCAGCGAATCGCCGTAAGCTGATCGACTATGTAAATATAGGTAGCGCATTGCTCGTTCCGATCGAGCGCGTCCTGCAGCTAATAGCAGCTATAGCGACGTTTAATAACTGGTATGATTCTAGCCTTCGTAGGCTGAATTTTTAAGTTGTATTTGGCCAGCTCAACATTAGAAATTCCCAATTCTCCAAGGATGTGCGAAGGTGCATCATCGTACAGAAGTGCGACTTATTATTTTCTTTCAAATTATCGTAAGTTACTCTTGTAAGAGTTTGCTTGTTATCCAACCTTTTATACTCCAGCGATATAAGGCGCCATGCTTCTTGTCATATCTATTAGAAAATGCTCGAGGATTTTGCGCGTGACCGATGATGAACAGTTTATGCCAATGTGAGCCATCTGCATTTGCAGGGAAGCAATAGTAGATAATAATTTTATTTAAAATATTACAAAAATTCAATCAGAAAAGAAATAACAGTTTTAATAAAAAGTTCTTACATAATGATTTTTTATAATAAATTATATATAATAATTTGATTCAATCTTTCTTGAAAAATTCAACTATTAATTCTATTATTATGGAATGGTCTTACCAAAAACAGCAAAGATTATTAAAAACTACAATGAAAACGATTGCTACTATAATAATATACTTTAAATATTTCTTGTAATCTGATCATGAGATTTAATTTTAACATTATGTATAATCTTAACTTGAAATATAACAAATCTTGCTTCCATTTGCGTGCGCACAATATTTTGTGCGGAGCTATACGATAGAAAAGACCAGTCCGTAGCCTTTCTTTTGAGGCTGGTTGAGCTTTTTCGATCGTCTCCATGCCAGCAAATACGATTTCGCCGTGCGACACTTAAGCCATGGCGAGATTTAAATTTTTTGATTCATTCATTTGAGAAGGATGTAGCGTTTTCGATATATAGTTGCTCTGCGACCCTGGCAGGCTTTGGTTTAATAGGCTTTGTTGTGATACAGACACGCCGGGCTTTGCATTGAAGAAGCCACTCTGCATGCATTTGATCTATTTCGGGGGGTTTTGCATCGGGAGTGCACTACAATTCTCATACTGCATCGGCCAGCAGCCATTTGTAAAAAAAGAATTATCATATAAATCTACCTTTGCCTCGTGGCTGATTATATCATAGCTTCTTATTCGCATCGCTTTGTAAAATGGAATTTATAGTGGGAGGCTTTAAAAGGCTTAAATCTTGCTTTTATAAAACACAAAGAGCAGCTTGAGTCAGGCGTGGCATAATATCATGCTTTTGGTAGATTTTAAGCTTCTTTTTGCTCGTGAAATATTGAGAGCTAACTTGCTTTGGGGGGGGTAGTAGGATGTCGTTTTTGTGTGGGGATGGTTTGACGCTTGCTTAGATTTTGTGGCACACATTACTTTCAGCCAATTTGAGCGCGCGCCTTATTAATATAATAAATAAATAACTATAAGAAATAGTTCGCGTATTCTATATTCCTCGATACTATATGATTTTATTGTCTACGGATGATATCATTTAAAGAAGGTTAGTTTGTAGCTCAATATTTCGGCCTTGAAAAAGATATCTATTAATATAAATTTTATTTAAAAGATGTTTTTTTACAAAATCCACAACATAATATGCTTTTATAGTATTCTTTTTTATGTACAATTAATTAGTGTTGTTTAGCTCATTACGTTACAAACTAATAATAAAAATAAGCACATATAGTATTACCTGTTTAATCTGATACCTCGGGGCTGAAGGGTTTTATCTGATTCTAGGGTATCTACCCGTCGTTCCGACGGTGCAAAGAGTAATATATATACTGGAGGAATCTTTAGAAAACGCAGCGATTTGCTAGGGTGTTCACCCGTCGTTCCGATGGATATGGTGCGCAAAGTCTACGCTGATAAAATATTGAATTATCATTTTACTTAAGAAAATCTAGTTACCTTAGGTAAACTGATAAGTATGAAATACAGTGTATGAAGGTCCATGGGGTACCTATCGTTTCAAAGGTAAATGTGTGCTCGTCGGTGAGCTCGTCGTTCCGACGGATAGGTGCGCGAATTTTCCACTGATAGTATGTTAGCCCATTATTTTACCTTATTATATATTTAGTTTAATATAGTAAATTGATAAATGTAAAAGTCAATGTAACCCTGTCCTTTCGAAGGTCAATATGTATTTGTCATTCCGACGGACATGTTGAGTGAAGTCTACTTGTTTAATATTCGTACCCATCTTTTTACTTAAGAATATTTGG